GCTACTTGTCCTTGTCCTCCACTCTTCCTCAGTAGCATGTTGGATGCCTTCCGACCTGAGGGGCCCATCTTCCAACGTCATATCTTTTAGCCTTTTCTGTCCATGGAGTTTACTTGGGAAAGATACTGGAGTGTCTTGCCAGTTCCTACTCCAGGTGGATTGTGTTTAGTCAGAACTCTCCACTATGACCTGTCCATCCTAGGTGTCCCTGCCTGTCATAGCCCATTGCTTCTCAATGACCTGTCCATCCTAGGTGTCCCTGCCCGTCATAGCCCATTGCTTCTCATAATTACTTAAGCCCCTTCGCCACAACAAGGCAACAATCACTCTGTAGCCCCCTTCAAATGTGTAAAAAGGGAGCCACAGGGGGGCATATGACACCCATTGAGAATAACTGCTGTAGACCATCTTTACTGCTGACATGTTTTGTGTTGTTCTTGATATATTGTGACAACCTATATTGTTTTTTCACTCAATATATCATGGAATAAAAAGCTTCCTAGTTATTCTGTGTAACTGAGAAAGAGCAGTAGTGTGTTTGAGTGCACTGAACGCAGCCACTGGGTGGATTAGGAAGCAGTTAAGGATGATGAAATCTAGACCTGTTGTGTGTAAAACACAGAACCTGTTTTAGGCAGATTCTGAGAGCAAGCAAATGTGTGAGTGCATGTGAGAGACACCCATAGAAAGGACCTTTTGGGACTGCCTCTCTGGATATTTGATAAAGAGCTATGGATTTCCTGACTATAGTAATGTTATGCCATGGACTGTACTGTATGTTTGTAAATAAATCCACATGTTATAGACATAGACTATAGATGTCTCCAGTGACATCTGCTTTATTTCTCTGAAGGAAACTGAACATGGGTGAGCACTGGGACATATTGCACTAGGCAAAGTGGAGGGAAGTTAATGGTATATTGCAATGAATGTGGTTTTGTGATTGACGTGTAGGCTTCCTCTGCAGACAGTGTGAAGAGGATATCCTAAAGGTTGAATTTTGAAAAGCCACAACTCCAGAAAGTCACTTTGAAAGACTATACTTTGAAGTTAATAGTGGTAAATCATTTCCCCCCAGTAAAACAAGGACACAAGGAATGTCCTGGAGAGAATCTTCAAGCCTTCCATGAGCATAATTAGTTAGTTTTTCCATACACTTGACCATAAAGTCAAAGATAAGAAGACAGATAATTGAAGGTGGTATGTGTGGGAATTCATAAAAGCAAGAAAAAAGGGGGGAAGAGGGGGGAGAAGAAATCATAGTATATAATATGGAAATGGATTTAGAACTACAGCAAGCAAATAGAAACCCAAAAGAGGATGTGATAAAAATGAGTAGTGTAGTATGCACATTTGATAAAATGTAAAATTAATTTCTAAAAATAAGAAATACATTGTGTTGTTTTAAGTCTAACTCCAGGAAGCAGATAAGAAGTAATGCTAAGGATGTACAGTAAATAAGAAAAATGTCCAACTCCAATCTACAGCTGGTTTGTTGTACTGTATTTTCATTTTTGAGAATTCACTATGACAACTTTTATCAGTGTTGTAGATTAAAATAAAGGCTCATATAAACCTAAACACCCTAACATATTTTGAACAATGAATTTGGAGAAGATACAGATTTGCACAGGACTTCTATTGATCTGGAATTTTTATAACCAAACGAGCATGGTATTAATTAAAGTTGAATAGATTTCTGCAGAAGTCCCAGTTCACTCACAAGTGTGGACAACTGTCCAATAGGTGTGTTTAACATTTCAACCCTCAGCCTAGCCCTAATATTGGCCAATGTGAGAAAGCTGATTTTTTTCTGGGTGCCATTGTTAAATTATTTATTATTAATATATTGCTACTACTAGGATTCCCAGCGTGGTATAGTGGACAGAGTGACAGACTAGAACTCTGGAGAACAGGGATTGTTCTCTGACTGGGGGAGTGGAACTAGTAAAACCACTCCTTAAATATCTCACTTACCTTGAAAACCTCATTAGGGTCACTATAAGTTGGCTCTGACTTGACAGCACAGAACACACACACACACATATTGCCAGGAAGAGTTGCCCTTTGGGATCTCCAACTTCTCATGCCAAACATAAGTGTGATTGATCACACTACCCTGTTTCCCTGAAAATAAGACCTAACCTGAAAATAAGCCCTAGTATGATTTTTCAGGATGCTCGTAATGTAAGCCCTACCCCCAAAATAAGCTCTAGTTAAGTGAAACCTCACCCTCCACGATTGTGCAGCATTGTGCAGCAACCAGATGACATGACTGTAAATTGAAACATCCCCTGAAAATATGCCTTAATGCATTTTTGGAGCAAAAATTAATATAAGACCCTGTCTTATTTTCAGTGAAACATGGTATATCCCTGAAATAGTGAGTTCACTCATGTTTGTCATATGGCAGTGATGGTGTGTTGAGCAGTCCCTGTGGTAAATATGGGTTGACCTAGGCACTGAGCATGTGGTGAAGTAATGGCTTTATGTGTAGGCAGTTTGGCGTACATGGAGCGTACTCATGCTCTAACTCTTTGGTCATCTTTTCCAGAGAACAACACTCTGGTGTTGCCCTTTAAATATCTTTTGTTCCCGCAGACCACTAAGACTTAAATCAAGATTTAAAAACCTAAAATGCACCAAATATTTATTTAAATGTTCTCAGGATCTCATTGACAGATATTCCTTGCTATAATGGTGACACTTTTTCCGATGACTGGAAGAAGCTTTGAACAGGATGCATGCTCATCAACAGCATCAGTTTTTTCACATTTCAAATTCAATCAGCGATTCATTCCGAGGCTCAGCCAAAATGTATTATTATAAAATGCATTGTGATAACTTCGAAAAGTCACTTTACTCGACAAGGATTAAATGGTTTCATTAGCAGAAATTGAAGAAACAAAATTATGAAGCCTGTCCAAACACTCACTCACACTGACACTGACTGACTCTGACTCTCTTCCCACAGCTTCTGTCTCAGCCACTCAGCATCATTCGCTTGCATCTTCTCACTGTGTGCAGAAATATCACTTATCTGTTATCAAACAGTTATTTTCATAACCATTTTCAACTTTTCTTTGTTTTTAATGGAAGGCGGTAGGCTAGAAAAGCCAGATTTTACACAAACAAGCAGGGAAATTATAATTTTATTGTACATTTCCTTTTCTTTCTTAGTTGCTTTAATTCATTCAATTTTAATTGCAAAAGATCATAACATTTCTTCAAGCCTTTGCAGACCCCCTGCAAGGACATCATGCCCCCCCCTCCATGGACCACAGATTAAGAACCTATGGTTTAAGATCTTAGTTCAAAGTACCTTTCAGAGGAGTTACTGTATTTCATAAAAACTATTCAACGGCTGACAGTGCAGTTTTAATTGTATACCATAGCCTGTCACCAATTAAGTAAAGTCAATTAGCAAAGGAGTGGGCTTCAAAATGTTTTTTTTTTTCACAATTAACTCACATTGCAGCCCTTGGTCAACATAATTTGGGTATGTGTGCAAGAAGGCAACCTCTGTGCTAAGGAATAGCCTATATAGACCGTCGTCTCCGTGAGCTTTAAAAAAGATCAAAGAAACCTGGCATCTTCCAGAATATTATGTCCATTTCTCCGTCTTCCCAGGCAAGGAAGCGGGAACGACAAGGACCGGCAGCCTCCTACGCAGAGGTTCTACTTTCCACCTCCAGACACAGAGCTTTAAATGCAGGAAATTTCACATCCGGGAAATGAAAAGCGAGCAAAGACGTGGAATGCAAAGGGGGGGGGGAAGGTTCCCTCTCTTCTTCTCCCCTCCCTTCTTCTTCGCCTTTAATGCTGGCTGAAGTACAGTAAGTAAAAAAACCCTTGATTGGAGGATATGAGGGGAAAATGCTCTCTCTCGCCCATGCCAGCCCTGGGAAAGTGGCATTCACAGTTGCCTTGGGTAACAGAGCTGGCAGACTGGGAAAGGGGCGAGAAGCAAAGGAGAGGGGAAGCGGGGCTGAGGAGGCTCGAGGAATTATTTTGGGGGGGGGAGTGCGGGAGCGAGACGGGGGTGAGGAAACGGCACGGTCCCCGCCTCAGCCAATCCCAGCCGCGATCACATCAATGCAAATAGGAGCACAATGGAGCTAGCAATAAGCGCGCTGCAGCCAAGCTTGGAGCGGGCTGCGCTTGGCTGACGGGCTGCCTCTCCAATGGCAGGCGCTGAGGGGGCTGCCGGCGACCAGTCATAGGGGCGCGGGGGCGTGCCCGGGACCAGGCTAGGCTGTCCTTGCAGGGTGTCTGGGCTAAACTTCACCAAATAATAGCTGTTTGTATTTTGGCTGCTGCAGGAGCCATTTTAGGTAAGTTGTGCTCTGAACTTTTTATTGGAGCGCCGTGCGCAAGGCAAGGGGCTCTTTGGGGGGGGTGCCTTCGCCCGCCCAGGGGGTAGCTGATGAATGAACTCCGAGGCGGCCGGGCGAGGCAAAGCAGACACACCGGGGGCCAAAGAGCCGGTGGCCGATCGGGCAGGCAAGCGGCCCGAGCTCGGCGGGGAGGAGGGGGAGGTCGGTATAGCGCTTAGTTTTCCTCTCAGGCACTGTCATGGCGTTGGGGAGGCTCTGTCCTTGGGAGGAGACCTCCTGGGCACGGGGAGGGGATGCTGCATAGGATGCCCTTGCGCAGAGTCGCACGGGAAGGAGGGAGGAGAGGCGGCGCAGGATGCCCATGTGGAGCCAAGCAGGGATGCCCCTGCCGCTTGCTCCTTGCATTGCAAAGCTTCCCCTCTGAAAGCAGAAGGGCTGCTGCTGCTGCTGGGGGATGGTTTGCTCCCTCCTCTCAATGCGGGCTGCTCCTCCCTGACCCTCTCGCCCCCCGCCCCGCAAAAGTTCTCTGCGCCTGCCCCACTGCTTTGCATGGGTGGCGGTAAGGAGGATGCGCCGTCCAAGCCGCCCAGCTGCGACTCCCCTGGGTCTGGTCCCACGCACTGCAGTTGGCTTTCCCTTCTCTCTCCCCGCCCCCCTTCCCTTCCCTCTCTCCCTCTCCCCGCAAGGCGCTCGCGCACACGAACACGCAGCCAGTCCAGCCCACCTGCCTGCCTCTTTTGCAGATCCATCCACAATACGGCCATGAGTCATACTGTATGTGCATTCCTGCAACCATGACCAAGTTTGGTGCAATTCGGGGGCTGGAGAGAGATTAGCATCGATGGAGAGTTTGGAAACCCAATCCACCTCACCACTCCTCCCGTCCTTGTTTTTGCATGCTTGGGCAGCAGTGTTTCCATCTTCTAAATTATGACGCTTGAAGTTGGGGGGATCTCAAAAATGGGCTTGTAAATATCTGCAGGATTTTGAGGGGAAAAATTATTCTGGGATTTTCAGGGCAAAAGAGGAGGCTAATGTTGTCAGTTTTTAGATGTGATGCTGCTATTCCAGACTTTATGAAAATGACAGGGTGCACTGGTGAGCCTGTGGATAGCGTTGTGTGGGAAAACCACAGACCTGGAAGACTGCATGTTGAGCCTATGGACTAGTAACTTAGAAAGTGTGAGTGTAGCACAGTATGTTGAAACAGAATCCTTAGTCACTGATTTGTTTTCTTAACAACTCTTTGGGATTCTACATCTAGTATCAAGTTTGTGTATGAAACAGTCAAGCTAGACTTGGGGGTGTTGTCATTACACAGTAACAGCTGCCAGGTCTGAAGGTAGAGTCCCTCCCACCGGAAATCAAATCCTGTTGTGGTACAGTACCTTTCTGACATTAATTTACTGTGTCAAATGAGAATTTGTACTTCCCCTAGTATTGGAATATCACTCCATACTACTGTCCTGAATTGTGTAGCACTGCAGCCGCCAAAACAACTAGTTAATTTGAGACAGAAAATATCATCTTCTTCAGCTTCTTGACTGAGGGCAAACAAGGGCATCTTTTAACTCTGAACTGACTAGAAACCACTAATGAAAGCTGCTAATGAAAGCAATTAATAAGCAAGACATTTGGTGCGGTAAAAGCAGCTGGGGACAGAACTATCATCCCTGTCAGCCAATCCATTCCTCCTCTCTTGTTGTGTGCAGAGCAGACACAGATCTTTTGTGACTTTGCAGTGGTAGTCACAAAAGAAAAGGCATGGCAAGTCACATTAGAGTCACATCTCATTCAGTCTGTTGCCTCTGTCTCTCTGTGTGCTTGCAGTTGTACTGCACAGCCTTAATCCTCACCATTTTGATGACTTCTTTGGGTAATTCTTTTTGTCTTGTACCAATGGCTTTTACTGGTAATCGGAATACAGTAGCTTTCTTAGTATTGATCAATAAGCTTCTTGCTTTATGAAGTCAGAGGGAAACTCACAGGCTTGCATACAGAACGAAAACAAGCAAAAATGCATGGTTGCTGTATAGTGAAACCTTTTTATCCAATACCAGACATTTAGTTCTGTATTGATTTACCATTTTGACAATTGTGCTAAACTTTAAATAAAGTTAGAAATATCTAAGAGTGACAAGCCATTTAAGATCTTTCTCTGGACGGAGTGTTTGACACACTTGTGGTGTGATGGACAGAGTCTTGGACTTGAACGGCTTATTGTGCTTCATAGCGTGTAAAAACAGAATGGCGTGATGGTGTGGGGGGAGTATGAAGAGATATAATGCACTGAGTTCCTTGAAGGACATGTGACATAAATATATAATGATATGAATAACATTTGCTAGCCTCTATAGTAGGAGTGGGGAGTGGGTGGCCCCTCTAGATTTTACTTGATTCCAGTTGTTTTTTCTTTGCCTTATAGTTTGATGCCAAACTTAATTAAGGTTTAGTTCTTAATGTAATCTTGATGTCTGGAATAAGTTAAAAATCCTCTTCATGGCACCTGCTTTGTACATGATGGCAAGTTTTTTTAGATGTATATTTTGTATGGAGAATTACAGTCATGTGATTCTACCTGCCAACTGCTGATTCAAATCACATACAGAATTATCACCTCAGTGAGAATTGGACTTCAGTAGGGCTTAAAACATGTGCTTAGGATGGGAAAAGCTGACTTGTTTCAGTGTAACTTTGCCAACAGAGACCTTTGTGAATGGTGGCATTGCAGGGATTTTATGCAGATGTTGCAGGCAAAAACGTTGAATTTTGTGTTAAGGATTCTCATGTCATGTCTGTTGTAGGCTTTCTTTTGAATTAGCTGCAGCAGTTATTCTAAATAGAGGCCCTTTCTTTTAAGCAATATGAATGTGACATGCCTTATGCTTCTGTGTTGTTATTCATTTGGAGCGATGTCTTTTGTGTGCCATGCAATGCACTCGTGTGCGTGTTTACTTGGAAGTAAGTCCATGTTCACTTGGAGTAAGGTTGATTGTATATGATTAGGTATATATACATAAAACATTGAGCCATGGAGCTGTGATCTGGGTTTTCTGTCAGTGTTTGAGTTAGAAAATTTTCAGAAAGAAATTCTGGAAAATTTAAAAGTAAAGATTATGTGGAAATTATTTTCATTAGAATATTTCCTTAAATTTTTTACAGCTTTACAGTTATATTTTTGGTTCAGATTGGATATGAAATATGAAGAGGTACTTAAAATTGTTGATGTACCAACTTTAGCATACCTAACAAATTATTCAAGACAGTGTCTTCTCATGTATTTCTATTATGGTTTAACAGTCTTCCACTGAGGTCACTGGGATACTTCCTGTTGCATTGCTACTGCCTGTAGAATCACATGACTATAGAACCATTTACCTAATATTGTATTTGCATCTATTCATTATTATTGCTGGATTTTATAATACAGTCATGTTAAAAAATTTAAAATGTTCAACACAAAAATTAAGCACCTGGAGGTTTTCTGGAAATACCTGCATGTTGGAAAATTTATTATGGGAGGGTTTCCATCTCACTTCAATGACTGTGAGGTGTTGCTTGCATTCTAAAAATTATTATTGTCCTGTTTAATTTGACTAGATTCAGGCCCTGTAGAACTATAGCACTGGTGTTAATGTTGTACTGAATAGTCCTAATCAGTAAATTCACTAATGTTCACAGTGTAGCTTACTATTTCAGGAAGCTGATGTAATATCACTCTTGAGACTAAATAGGAATTGAACACTGTGACCCCTGAATTCTCTGGTGAGATCCAGAGACCCTTGGTGAGAGTTTAGGTAAATCAGAAAATCTCTTTAATGTAGGATATTGGGTCTGATGTATTTAAAATGCTCGCTTGATGATGGAGGAATGCATATTACTAATGAGGAATTTTTTAAAAAAACACCATTGATTTATATGTGTCTGTCTTCCCACCAGCTGATTGTTTTTCTTGGAAAGCAGAATGATTTTTGTACCTATTTTTCATTAACAAAAAAGTTCTAGTCTTAGATTTGATGTTGAAAATTTTAGTATGCTCCTGTTTAATTAATCATTAACCAGTATTATTACAAATATGAGTCTGTTGAAGAGATTTATTCTTTAGCATTTGCAAAGCATGGCTGTGGAATTGAGGGAAACCAAGAGAAAACAGCTATCAGTGGAGGCAGCTGACTTCTGTACTAGGAGACAGGTCTCTGAATATACCTATTAAAGCTCAACAGCAGGTTTAATGGCAAAAGGCAGAAACCTCCTGCCATTACAGGCTGCTTAAGACCCATTTGCACAGTTAGC